AAGTGCATTGGCACAGCAATCAGTAATAAATTCAGCATCTGAAGCATTGCTTTCGGGAACGTTAAACCAAACAAGGTTAAGTCTTCTTCTCTCTCTATCCAGCAGTTCACGAGTGCTCTCGTTGGCGAGATCAGAGATGACCTCTTTGCGGCCTTTACCTTCTGCATTATCGCTATTATCGTTTTGTGCAGATGAGCTTTCACTTCTACAAGCTCGTTTCGTAACGATTGTAATTCGCTACGCAACAAGCTCAATTCTTTCTTGTGGTTCTCCTCCATTTCGGCTCTCTTTCTAAACTCTTGCTTGTTGGTTTCTTCAATTTCGGCTTTAAAAACAGAAAACATAGAAGAGCACTTCTCTTCCACCATTTTTTTGCTTTTTACAGCGCTAAGTGCAGGTTGTTGCAGTCCTGACAGTACCAGTGTACTGACTTGTTTTTACGAATAACTGAGCAGTCAGTCTTGCTTAACTTTGCACAAATGTTGCAGATGGTATCCCCGCAACGATCACAGGCCACTGTAGCGTCATTGACGTTAAGTGATCCCAGCTTGCAAAATTTACAAATTTCTCCTCGCTCATTTTGCAATTTGATCTTCGAATTCGGTTTAACAGGACTGGAGGCCTTCTCATTTAATTTTTTCCTCTCTGACCAGCCATCATGAAATGCAAGAGCAAGAAAAAGCACAAGCTAAAACTGAATCAAGTTGAGTAAAAATTGTAAAGTTTCCAAAGTGCTGTAAAAACTCGGTTACAGACTTGAGAGTAAGTGACTTACAGTCAGCGGCTGAAAAGGTGTTCAGGGTAGGGGAGGTAAGCCTGGCTATAAAACAAGGGCTCTATTGTTCTACGCTGGCGGGGCAGTGCTCGTTGCCCTCGCTTGACGACCCTCGCTGACTCTAGATCGCGTTATTTCAGATGGAAACACTTTTACTATAGGCTTCTAAGTACTAAATAAATAAATAATTCAATAAAGTACTAAACAGCCTTTTACCGAGCATGTCATTCAGCAGGTCGCATACGTTGACCGTTGGTGACTTTAACCATCCAGAAATAGACTGGGCAGATGAATCTTCTCTAAGAGATGGGAATCACCCAGCATCCTTGTTCTTGGAGTCTGTGCGATACTCATTTTTAATCCAGAACATCACCAAGCCTACCCATTTTAGGGGTAAACAGACCCCAAATATTCTAGATCTTGTGTTTACTAGTGAAGAATTAATGATAGATGAGCTTCGCCACGAGGCTCCGCTGGGCAAAAGCCACCACCAATCATTGTTTTTCAAAATTAAGTGTTGTGCAGAAAAGACGCTTCGGAAGCGTGAACGTTTGAACTGTGCGAAAGGCGACTATGATAAACTCCGTGAAACGGTGAATGCGGCGAATATTTCGGACTGTATTAAGGACATGAATGTGGCTGATTCATGGTCGTTTCTCAAAGACACGGTTATGTCTGCAGTTGATGCCTGTGTACCCAAGATTACGCTTGGAGGAGTCAAAAAGTCCCAGTGGATGAACAGTGCAGTTAAGATTCAGCTAAAGACCAAGAAAGAAGCCTACAAGCGTTATTTACGAACTCGCAGCGAGTCGGATTATTAAATGTATGTCAGAGCTCGAAACCAAGCTAAAAAAGTTTGTCGCACTGCAGTGAAAAACTTCGAAAAATATATTGCTAAAAATGCAAAAAAGAATCCGAAAGCCTTCTTTTTGTACGCTAGTACAAAATACACGAAGAAGAGGTTCTCAAGCACCTAGTAGCTCTAAATCCCAACAAGTCATGTGGACCAGACGGCTTCCATCCCAGATTGCTCAAAGAATTAGCAACCGTTCTGGCCGGCCCATTGACAGTATTCTTCCAAAAAACCTTGAACGAAGGAACTTTGCCGTCCGACTGGAAAGAAGCTCAAGTAACACCATTGTTCATAAAAGGTGACAAAAGCAGCCCCGGCATCTATCGCCCTGTCAGTCTGACAAGTGTTGTTTGTAAGCTAATGGAATCTGTAGTGAGGGATAGTATTATCGATCACTTGACTGCTCACCATCTCATATCAGATTGTCAACATGGTTTTATTGCCGGCAGATCCTGCACCACTAACTTATTATCTACGTTTTAACACATCCAACAAACTTCTTGGACTAATCAGACGCTCATACGAGTTCCTAGATGCAGAAGCGATGAAGCAGTTGTTTGTTGCTGTCGTGCGCCCGAATCTAGAGTTTGGAAACGTTGTGTGGTCACCGAGATTTAAAAAGGACAGAAATTTAATAGAGAATGCTCAAAGACGTGCAACAAAGATAATTCCAGGCTTGAAAGGCAAGTCTTATGAAGAAAGATTGAAGATTATGAAGCTTCCAAGCCTCAGTTATCGACGTCTGCGTGGGGACCTCATTGAAGTATACAAGTATACTCATGGTCTATACAAGGTCCCCGAAGGATTACTAGAATTTGAAACAAGAACCAACACCAGGGGGCACGGCTATAAACTAAAAAACCACTTTGTAACACATCCATGCGACAAAATTTCTTCTCGCTTCGAGTCACCGATATGTGTAACAGCCTCCCTGATAGCATCGTTTACGCTCTGAGTATGAACATCTTCAAAAACAGACTAGACGAAGCTATTCAGGAGTATATGTTCAGTCTTAAAATGCCTAGCAAATTACGAACCAGTCAATAAGTCCAGCAGCTATCTCAATCAATCGTTAGTTATGGAAAGATCGGGTTCCAAAGGCCGGATCCCTTGTGAATCAAGTCACGAAAAAATCAAGAATCGGCAACAGGCAATGGGCCTATTTCTTCATTAGTGCCGACACTTCTATTCTATAATAAACTCTGGGTTAAGCAGCGCTTTAGCTTTTAAGTTGTGAAAAATCGAAAACGAGAGCGAAGTTTCACAAAGACAGTCCAACCTAACTAATTCCGTAGCGCTTCAGCTAACCTTTTGAGATATCTAACGGAAGTTAAGAAATTCTAAGCCAGCCGAACCTAACCAAATCAGCTCAACAAATGGGCTGAATCTACCGACAAAATTAACCAAATCTGACCAGCCCAACGTAACTTCATCAACTCAAACTACTAAAAAAAATCAGCCCTATCTTATTTGAAAAAAAAACAGCTTAACCTTAGAAGATAAATCTAACTTTATCAGCGCAAACTAACCGATGAGTTTAACATAACCATTGTAAGCCTCACCCAGCCTCTGCGACATCTCGTCAGACACTACGAACTTTGTGATGGTTCGGTCGCTCATGAACAACACCGACCTTGGCGACGCGCATTGTCCATTGTCTTACAAGCATGTACGCGAATTTGATTCGTATCTTCTTGAGCTAAGTCAGGTTCAAAATAATGAGGTCATCATAATAAAAAGGCCACGAAAATGCTCGCTTTATATTTAGGTAAAAATTCTCCACAAAAGCGATTACAAAAATATTATTAGCATAATCTCATGGAAGAAACGTCACTTGATAGAAGTACATTATGCAATAATATACACTATAAAAATATATCTAACAACATATTTCCATAAGAGTATTATGAACCATAAGCGTTGTTGCTTCAAATCGAAAAACAACGCACTGGGATGTATGGACGACATGAATGAAAGTTTATCTTAGTAAACAAGGAGGTGGAGAAAAGAACAGGCACAATGAATAACACAGAAATTGACAATTATCTCCTACAACGGAGGGGTGAAAACCTGCAATGGTTATGAACCTTGTAACATAATTACAATACGCACTCACGTCGTAAACTTGATTTATATAACCTCTCAGCTCAATCCAAGCTGAACGAAACCCTGGTATACAAAATATGGAATTTCCGTCGTTGGCTGATGGAATCATTAATGAGTTTAAATAAAATGTGTGCCTTATGAGCGGTATGATGATTATCCAGTGCATTGATCATTTCCCAATTAATTTAGATTAAAACAAGTAGTTATTACTAATGGCATAGGTTATTTCCCGATGAATGAGAGAATAGTTTTGATCACGACAATAGAAAGCAAATAATAGGCACTAGATTGGCACAAATAAAACTACTACTTTGAATCCTGCCATTCAATTGACCCAGGGAGATGTTTTGAATTAAAGTTATGGTGTGTAGTCCTTACAATTATAAATCTTAATAAAAATAAAGTCTGGACAGAAATGCACCGACAAACATAAATAATATTTGAAGGATAATTGTAAGGCAGTGATACCTATTTTAAATTATCAACTACTTAAGTAATATGTTAGATCTCAGGTATAAATATAAAAATAGCAGTAGAAACTGTGCACTTTTTTCATTCACATTCAGAGACGAGAAAAATATTTTTCTAGAGAAAATACATTCTATTAAGTATTTGTATTTCAAAACCGATAGCGAATTGAAAAAGATTTGAGATCACAGTTCAGATGGATATTAAATGCCTGAGTAGTTCAAGGATACCAGATATAATTCGGATGATAAGAGACCGATGCCTATTCAGATGATAACAAAATTAATCACATGGGGATTACTACATGCGTGTGGCAGAATGACAATTATCTAATTTGTTATAAAAAGACATTTCAGCGTCAACCCACATAATTTTTTGGGTGCAAAACTTGCTATCGGTACCATTTGATCTATTAATATCACAGAACAGGATATAAATGATATGATAATTTACAGTTCTACAAATAATATCAATAAATTAGAGTATGCGCGTGACAACACATGGCGCCAACAGATCAATAAAATACGTAAATTAATACAGTTTGTTGTGCCGCATACTTTAAATACAACACAGAACCACATACATGACAAGCACGAACCCATAAGCTACATACCTACCGACCACAAGCCTGTGTTTGGAAGGCGTTAAATAATACATTGATACTTCAAATAAATAAGACCGTATGCCGCATCCTTATTAATTCAAGTGGCCATAACACAAACAGTAATTAATTTCAGAGACAGAAACTGGAAGACTCGATTGTCCAAGAAACTGGGGCGAAACTGCTAAATTATTATCGCTGTTATGATATAAATTTGAAAACTTTAATATAACGGCGAGCATTTTGTTTGCAATTGGTGGGTACAGTTTAAAAAGGGGGTCCTCAGAGCAGGTGGCTATCAAAAGGGCTAATGAAATATCAATTTATTTCACTATTTCCTGTCAATATACTTAATATAAAAGTATTTTTTGGATAAATATAATTCGAGCTGGCCAGGACATTAAACGTTCCAGGAGCGGCTTGAATTTCTAAAAAACGTTTGAGGACGCCAGTTTTAAACAACGAATTGATTAAATGATTGAAGATTAAAGAGATAATTCAAAATATTTTGCCCCGCATGCGCACTGCAATAAATATTAAAAAATAACTCTTAAATGAGATGATAAAACTGCATCAGTCGACCTAAATTTTGTGAATATCTTGGTATAAATAATACGTAGATAATTTTAAGGTCGTTTTTCCACGGCGAGGGAAATGATATCTGAAGAAAGTTTATGAAATAAGATAAAATATCGCTGACGATTGGGATGGATAATACCAATAGGAAAAGAAATTGAACCATTCTCTGCAAAAAATATTTAAATTGCGGCAGATGGTGAGTTTTTTTATCAGCAGAAATTAACTTTAATATAAAAACGGCATGAAGAAGAATGTTGAGTTGGACAGAGAATGTTTTAAAGCAGGAATGAAACAATTAAGCACCAGAAGACTCGATAAGTTGGCGTGGCCATCAGAAGACGGCGATGAGGTCCCGTGGAGTGTAGTCCAGATCGTCATCGATGATCATGATGAGCTGCAAGTAATTAGGTTACATTAATTACAGAATAGAAGCGAAGATAAAATAAGTAATTTAATGCATTATAAATGCATTTCAGTATAGATATTAGGATTGGTGTAACCCACGAACGTTAACAGTGTTCTCGAATGCACATTTTCTCAACTTCATACAACCTTCTAAGTTCATACAATCTTCTGATAACTAGCCGGTCAAGCAGTGAAACTCTATTCGAGTGAGACATCGGACTTAAAACTACCAAGCAGAGAGAGAAAAAACCTACCAGAAATAAATTATAAGATTTACACAATTCACTCACGAGTGGAATAAATCGTACGAAACTTCATCAGAAATCATCAGGTACGGAAAAATTTACTCCCAGGACAATGCTATGTCCAGTGGGGATATACCCAGAACTTAGAAAACTGCTGCAATGAAATAGTCAAGATCGTGACGTCCAAACATAAAAAATATAAATGTTACCCAACGCAACGCGAGCTAACAACTCATAAAAAGCTGCTGAATCCCAACAGTGAATAAAGCAACGTCTAAATAAATATAAAGAAAAAACGCAACACAAGGCGGGCCAAAAAATCCACCTAGAAGCTGGTGAAAGTCAAGAGTGAATAACGCGACGTCTAAATATAAAGAAGAAGCGCAACTCAAGAGAGCCAAAAAGCTCACATAGAAGCTGGTGAAGAGTGCCACGGCGGAGAGGAAGTGCCAGATGTCGTGCCAGTCGTAGAAGTTGAAGATGATGCATTCTTGGTTGAGGTCGCGACTGCGTGCCGGCGACCTCGACCAGTCTGTTGATCGCTTGAAGAAGACGCAGATAGCGCTCACCCACACGACCAGCAGCAGCAGCAACGTCAACTTCACCTCAGTGCCCAGGTGCTCGTTGTAGCCGCGCTGATGACCGAAGAATTCAACATGAATATTCAACCAAAACGTTTTATAATAACGCTCGACAAGGTGAAAATAGGGTTCAACAGGAACTGTTGATTATAAGGTTCAACAAGAACCTTTCTAAATAAGGTTAAAAATGAACGTTTAATTAATACATTGAAAAAAGATGCAAGAAAACCTCAAACACAAATATTTATTACAAACAATCCAAGACAAGAACAAGTTGAACAAAACAAAGGAACAAAACTTCTAGCAACTTTGTCCCTTGTCTAGGTTGTTTGCAATGCAAAATAAATAACATTCTACTTCTACGCGTATTTATGTCATAAAATAATAACGCTGTTACCGGCCTTGAAAACGCCTTTCAAATCGCCAGTCTTCCAAAAATTCATGTACAAAGACATTGTGCACGATCATGTCTACAAATTTACAGATTATGGTCATCTACAGTTAATGTCATTAGGGGCATTACGATGTAGAGGGCGATACCTTCATGCAGAGGTAGAAGATGACGTAGACGACGAGGTTGAGCAGGAAGATACCGAGCAGGTAGGTATCGTAGTCCCGTGGTCTGACGATGAGCCCGAAGAGTAGCAGCGCCCAGTTGCCCAGGTTAGCGGTGAGCAGCAGCGCCACCCGCGTCCCAAATTGAGACTTGAGCTCCCGCCAGTAGCGCCACGCCTTCACCTGACACAACCGCAGCAATAATGTTAGTGCCAGACATGAATGTAATATTCAGGTATTAGTGCTTAAGATGTTCAAATAGAGGAAAAATCTTCCGCGTGAGTATCCAGCCCGCAGCGCCGACAGCGTCACGATCTACGACTTTCGCTCCTCCAAGTCTCGCTAATTTGACAGGAGTACCTTAATAATATGACGAGACTAGCACATTTAATAGCTATCGTTTTACCGTTTCTTTCGTTGATCTCGAAGGGGCACTTGGAATATTTTGCTTGTAATTAAATAACGGAAAATATACGCAGTCTTGACCTGTAATTTTTAACGCTGGTATGACGACCAGCAAGCATCGTACAATTGATACAAGATTGTCCCCGTGTACCTGAAAATTATGCGAATGATCGAAGGGCAGAAACGCACAAAATGAATCATCCCAGAATGAAGTCATTTTTCAATCAAACTTGATTCAGCATTTGGATTTCTAACTATTGAGATTGCGGAAGAATTTGCACAAAGCTTAGTCGCAACCTCAGTTCCTATAGCGCTTGTAAGTCTACTTAATGAATTCTCCGTTAATAGAGTACACGATAATAAACGCCTATTAAATGAAAAAATGTGTTCAAACTATGTTTCAGTTATGAATGGTAATTGGTGGGAATTCAAACGCCAATTTTCATACGGATTATATTGACTAATACTCTTGTGTGAGGCGGGAACAGAAGATTCGAAGGACTACGCACTTAAAGTGGGCTAAAATGGCATAAATTACGTCGGGATTAGCATGAGTGAACCAAGAATCTCAGTTTACTGATGCATTTAAAACCATTCAACCAATAACCCATTAAAAATTAACCCAAGAATCACGACTCACCTGACGTATGCTCCATGATGCAAGGAAGCGAATGCCGCCATTTTTGTACACCATCTTCATGGTGCTGACTGGAAAACATAGGATATCAATACAGGTTGAAATATAAAATAAATACGCTTATTTTGCATGGTCGCCTCAGAAAATAAAGTCGCTACTTGAATAAAATTCGCCATCATCCAATAGAAACAATAAGTATACCTTATTAATCGAATTGAAGGATGCGGTTCTATTCAAAATACGAGAGCTTTCGAGTCTCGTGATCACAAAAATATATTTCGGTTTAGTATTTAAGAGCGTTATTTATAGGTCGACAAATAAATGCAATAGACTGGTTCTGGTGACATATGTGGAGACATATGCCTACACATATGTATACACATATACTCTACCTGGTTCTAGTGAGCAAACCTTGTTGTACAACGTCATTGATACAAGTTTGAAAATTTATATTAAAACATAATATCTTTTCAATCAAGTTGAGAAAAATATTAAAGCCTGAGACATGTACTCACTGAGGGACCAGCGTCCGAGGTAGTAGACATAGGCCGACATGAGTATGCAGGCCAGGAGGTGAGTCAGGCTCGACATGATCCAGAACCACGTGAAGCCAAACAGGCCTCCGATGACACCAAATAAAATCTACAAATGCACAACATTAAACGTTTGATAAGGGATCGAAAATGAGAGATCCATGCAAATCGTTCCATTAATGAAGTTCACAATATATGATAATAATTAACAAATAGGTGCTTATTAAGACAATTTAAAATGTGACAATTTCGGATTTTAGACGTAGTGTCGGAATACATGCATCTTCACGTTGGTCTTTAATTAATAAATAATTGGCTAAACGAAAAATTATTTGTTGTAAAGGATGACAGACATATGAAAGAGATTCAGCTTATAATAAAAGTATTGTTATCATTCATGTAGATAAATGAGAATAAATTAGACCAAATAATTACTGTGGAGTTCGAATTTCTTTTCCATGGGCCTACAGAAGTTTAGGGACCAGGCGTGAAAAGTTAAGTCGGTGCTAACAATACACCGCGTTGCCAAATTTAGCATGCTTTAATGTGCATGTTTTCCGGTGGCAATAATGATATACATTTTTACAGCTCAATTTCCCCTATAAATAAATTAACCCTCATGTGGTGATTTGTTAAAGCTTGGCCACCGAAGTGCGCAACTCACAGAGCAAGCAAGAACAATGAAGACTGAGTCGGCGCTGGCGGTGATGTCGGGGTGGCGCTGCTGGTAGAGCTTCAGCATCAGCAGCACCGCGATCACGTACATGAACGACGTGTCTGAGGGGTTAGAGAGAGGTAAGAGGGTGTTTGATGGACAAAATTTAGTAGATTTATTAATACATTTCACTAAACTGGGTAAAAGGTCTCGAGTTTTCACAAATGCCACACAACTCTAAACACACCTTGAACAAATATCCGACAAGGCACTCAGTTCATACTTACTCAGATATCCGACTCGCAAACATAGATGTTTGTACAAATAAATATTCCTGCTGATATGGAGCGTACAAACTAGTCGGTATCCAACTCGCCAAACTAGATATTCGTCTAAATAATGACTAAAGCAATTGAAAGTACACTCATTTAGACATCCGACTTACTTAACGCTTTACCGCCTGACACGAGAAACCGGAGCAATATTGTCACAAGCCTACTTCCCAAAAAATAATAGGTACGTTCTAGCAAGCGCTAAATGACTTGCACTGATGGTTGCCGTCAGGTACAACTTTATAATGTTCTCTGTTGCGTACAAACATCCTCAGGTTGCTACACTCAAATTTAAGTTGAAAGTTATGTTCCCGGAAAGAGACATGCGGCAATAGAGGGTTAACCCGATATTCGTACTAACAAATACTCATGTAACTACACTCACTCAGATATCCTGCTCACTTAATTAGTTAGTCGAACAAACAAGCAAATCGTAGTTATTCGTACAAGCAAATACCCATGTATCTACACTAACTCAGACATCAGACTCACTTAATTAGTTATTCGTACAAGCAAATACCCATATAGCTACACTCACTCAGACATGAGACTCACTTAATTAGTTATTCGTACAAGCAAATCCCCATGTAACTACACTCTCTCATGAGACTCACCGAACTGGAAATTGGACCTATTAGGGCAGACGTGGTAGCAGGCGCTCAGCAGGCCCACCATGGCGAGGGAGAAGGACAGTGTGTAGTACAGGCCAAAGTCCCGGGGTATGCCGAGCTGCAAGCCAATATTGCATCAATATCATCTGACATCAAACACTATTCATCATGATGGGGAATAAAATTAAATATTCTTAGAACTAGTGTAGGCATTTATAACAAAATTGAACAATTCTTCTCACAAAAACGTCCGAATACAAATGTCCATGGTTACATGAAAACGTCAAGAAATAATACTCTTCATCCTTGGAATGAAGCAGTTTTTTATCCTAATTACAATGGGTGCAAATTTTACTGCAAAAAGTACCTATCTGATACAAAGGAAAAATTTCATTTAATAAAGGCATATTCAGCAACATGATAACATAAACTAGCACTTTTCTAATGTAAACTTGCATGGGAAATAAAAATATTATATCAAAACAACGAAATCATTAAATGTTGACTTGGTAATTGCAATTGTGTAAAAGTTAAGGTTCAAAAAGAAAGAATTTTTTCCTTTGTGTAGGATACTTTTTGCACCCAAAAATTTGATGGAGCAGCACAAGCAAAAGATTAGCTTGCATGGTCACGCAGATGTGGACCAGCACGCTGGTGCTGGCATGAAAGCTTTCCAGATATACAAGAAGCAATGAAGGGATAGGTTGACTGCCACCGATACAACGACGAACTAATTACCGTTCATTTCCCTATTTTCTCAATAATTTCCGTGCACTGCTAATTTCTAGGTCTGGTTTGTCTTGGGCTGTAAATAACACGTTTATTGTCGCACTTACTGACAACACCACGACTAATTTTTCAATTACATACTTTCTCGTCAAGAGCGTTGTAGCGAGACATCACCTCACCTTCTCGACGGCAGGTTCCCTCTCTACTTGAGCGTTGTAGCGAGACATCACCTCACCTTCTCGACGGCAGGTTCCCTCTCTACTTGAGCGTTGTAGCGAGGCATCCCCTCACCTTCTCGACGGCAGGTTCCCTCTCTACTTGAGCGTTGTAGCGAGACATCACCTCGCCTTCTCGACGGCAGGTTCCCTCTATACTTGAGCGTTGTAGCGAGACATCACCTCACCTTCTCGACGGCAGGTTCCCTCTCTACTTGAGCGTTGTAGCGACACTGTTTCCAGTAAGTGAGGCCAGCGAAGAGTAAGCCGAAGCTGGGGTAGCCAACGTTGGAGAATACGTGGTTGAAGTCACTCAGCCTACCCAGAGGATTCGCGCACAAGAAGTTGTAGTAACAAATGTCCTGGTTGCCGGTCTCGTTCAAAACCTGACGAGCGTATAGGATATGAACGTGAGTAACTTGTCCAGTAAAACAGATTCAAACTGCAAACAGAAGGTAATATTATTTGATTACAACAAATGACCGTTTTTGTAATATTATAAAATAAAATTTCACGAAAAATTTTAAGGAATGACAAAATTTTGTTATCACAAAATTGTCGTTTAACAAGTTTATGACTATAATACAATGCACTAGTATAACAAAAATTTCCCGCAGTGTAATGATCTTAAAACACAATAAAATGCTTTGGTTATAAAAATGGTAAAAATCGGTGCACTCGGATCTCAGAGCGCTAGAACACAGGATGAGCCGTAGCTGCGGCGTCATGATGTAGGCAGAGAAACAAGCCCGTCAAGTCGACAAAAAATCTAGTTTGAAATCAGCTGCCGGGCGTTGGTACCTAACCTCTGACAGGAGCATGATGGTACCTACCTACAAGCAGAGGTGGGCGGTAGCGCGCTACATATTTAAGTAGCGATACGAGGTTTTACCGCTACAGCGCTACCGCTACATTTATAGATAAAGCCTTTAGATTTTACTTAATAGTATTAAATTTTATTTAAAAACCAGCATGATACATACCACGTAATATAAATTACAGAATAAAACTGTACGAAAGATTTCAGTGTAATGTTGTCAACCTCAGCCTGTTACTAGTGTCAACATGTTAGTTGTTACTTGTTAAGTTGTTACCAATTCCCACTAACAGGTATTTTTTCATGTTTTAGTTTGCTTACAGTTATTTTTACGTTTCACCTTCCATACATGGATGTCTACTTTAATCTACCAATCTCAAAAATAATCCACATATATACAAATAAGTGATTTTTATATGTATATGTGGATAATTTTTGAGATTGTTAGATTAAAGTAGACATCCATATAGGGAAGGTAAAACATAAAAATAACTAACTTTTATTTACTGTATCTAACCCGTAATAGTTTGGTTAGGTTAATTGCAATAAAGTTACATTGTTATGTTTTATTATCATTAAATGTTTAGCAGTAAATCCCAATAGCAGAACAATAAATATTTATAGATTTCCAATAATTAGCGCTCGCTACAATCTAGTGGGTGTAGCGGTAGCGGTAGCGCCCGCTACATTTAGAGCATGTAGCGGTAGCGGTCGCTACATTTCAAAGTAGCGCTGTCCAGCTCTGCCTACAAGTAGGTGGGCACTGGTACCTACTCTATGGTAAGTGTATGCCACTACCTACCCTCTGGTAGGTGGTGACGAGCTGCAGTACAGGCACGAAGTAGAATATGAAGCAGCTGAGCAGAGTGGTGAAGTAGCGGTAGCTGCGACGACGCAACACGCGCGCCCGCTTCTGGGAGAGCTCGTGTAGGTGAAGCGTGCGCTTTATTCTGCCATCATCACAATACAAGAACGTTAACAAGTCCATTTATAACAGAAAGGTTCTTAAAGTCAATTTTTAATCATTTTCATGTTGGACAATATGTTTTATGTCGAGCTGTATGTTCCTACGTTGGGCTGAATGACTCTACATTGAATTGTGTATGCATACGTTGGGCTTTACATTTTTTATTTTACAATTTGTTCTACTGTACAATTTGAATGAAATTCAAGAACCTAACAAATAAAATTTGGATGAATCGTAAACTGCTACAACTCGTGGATTGCTCGTAGTTAACAAAATACATATGAATTGCATTAGCTTTGTGTGTTTTGGGATAGTAATGAACTTGATCACGTAAACTACTGGAATAAATTAATTGATAAGTGAGTCTACTTAACATATAGGACAATGCAGAAAAATATGTATGCTACAACTACGGTAAATGAATGTGTAGATTGACGTCGAGTCAGGACACTCCACGCAGTGAATAATTAGAATGTAGATAGTGAATAATTCTCATGCATGTGGTACAGCTTAAAGCAGTTAACACCAATAAAGATTCAAGACATTACGAGGGAACAACTCATGTTTGCATTAAGAGGTAAAAAACTATCACTAAGTCTTGCTAGCTTATCCATCCATAACGATCAGAAGGACAGGGTGGTTTAAGTTGCACAAACTCTACCCCCTTTCTCTCCCCAAAATTTACCGTCAAGAGAAATTTTGAAACAAAAAATTCAGATTAAATTAAAAACGAACCTGAATTTTTTCATGACGCCACGCGCTTTGGGTGCGGACGCGGGCGACTTCCCGTATATTCTTCTATTTTGTCCGTCATCGAGACTGGCTTCAAACTCATCGTTGCCTTCATCAGACTCGACGGAAAACTTGCGTTCAGGTATCGGATTTTCTCGTTGATTTCTTACCCCGGGGAAATACACACCGCGGTCTAAACCACGTACGTTGTTTTGATGTTCAGTGCGCGTGTTCTCGGCAGTGACGGACAGATTGTCTTCAGTTTCCGTACGGCTGGTATCCGCAACACCGGAAAGGTCGCCGCCTCTGCTGCGGTTGTCGCAGCTCGTGTCTCCCTCGGCGCTGTCCGCGTCGTCCACGAAATATTCCTCGTCGGATGCCTGGTTAGCATCTGAGTTCAACGATGAATCTGAATCGCGGATGACACCAAACGCCGAAGTTTCGGTCGCTAACGCTGAAAAAAATATGATTTTTTTGTGTGAGTGAATAAGAAATATGATTAGAAAATTTGTGTATGCAGATCTAAATATTGATAATGTTCCAGCAATAATAAGTATCGGAATTTCCTCAAGAAAAATAAGTTTCCTTCTGCTATTCCAAATTACAACCAACAGATTAGGAATTATGATGACTATCAATAACATGACAAATTATTACGACGGCGATAATCATCATTAACACAAATAATAAGCAAATGACAAACTGACTGGGATTGTCACGTTGCAAAGCGGTCATGGACTCGTTGATCTCCCGGGAAAGCTCGGCAAGATCATTGAAATTTCCACCTTCGCTGAGTATAACAGTTGGCACCGCAGCCCCAATAGCAGAAGAAGAGGAAGATGAAGGTTCATTTATGTTTGTAGTAATCCTGTTATTTAGCAAATCTCTTGGCGGTTTAGAAGATCCAACGTTGCACTCGCCAACAATCATAGAGTTAAGGGTTTCAGTCGTGGTTGGATGCGACGAGTTGGAATGAATGTTAATGCAGTGATGGGGTGGATCTGTGCAGTTATTAGCAATATCAGAATGTCGATTTATGCCAGCAGAAGAAGATAAGCAAGAACCTCTGGGGCGGGAAGGTCTTCTTCTCCTGGGTCGTGTTCTGTGTGTAGAGGTTTCAGGTCCGGGCAATGGCCCCAAGCGATCAAATAACAGGGCATCCCTGACGAAAAGAAAACATCAGTGAAATCTATAATTCTAACATTTAATGCGGAAATATTTCAGTGATAACATTAGATACGTTTCAATTAGTTGGCCAGCTAGAGATGTCTAAAAAAATACTTACCGGTATCCTCATAAAAACGACATTTTTACACAGCAACCAGCTCTCAAACCGTAATAGATTCAGTAATACAGAATCTATACAACCCGTAATAGTTTTTTTTAATACTCCGCTCACCATGAGAGTTCTCTACGCAAAACCAATTCCAGTAAAACTTTTTAGCTGAAATATCCTATTAAGAAGAACTCACTTGCGGTGATCGTAGCAACATTTGGCAATGCAAATAACGTAGAAAAGAAGGCAAAAGAAACTTCCGATCAAGATACCAAAGATCATCTGCTCCTTGTTTATCTTCTCCTTCACTATTACCTGCACAATTATTGAAATAAAAAAGTTACAAGATGGCACATATTATACTATCTATTATGTGTTCAACTACAAGGTGACACTCAGACAATCGTGCGGCAAACAAGTTCTGCTTATATCGAATGGACAAAGCAGCACCAACTACATTTTCTAAAACGTATAGAAAAGTCTTTATATTGGTGTAGTTAGGCAGAAGCTTTTCTCTTATGCAAGTTTGATTGAACCAAAACCAGATGAACAGAGGCTACAAAGTGGATGAACGAGTCCTACAGTCAATCATCCATAATAATGTCAAGAGTACAACGGATAACGAAAATATAAAACTTCTGATCTACTACAAAAATAAGAAAGTAAAAAACCTTATAATGAATAATAATCCCTGTAAAAAATCTGGTCCGCTTCAAGAAACTAATGTTGTTTATAAATTCTCATGTAATAAAGAAGGTTGTAGACTTCTTCAAAATATGAACTACATTGGTCTAACAAGCACGACCTTAAGCCGCCGACTAACATGCCATCTACAATCTGGAGGACCCAAGAACCACATGCGGGAAGCTCACAATGAGACCATCACCCGAGCGACATTGGAGGCCTGCACCAGCATAGTTATGCGGTGCCCCGACCCATCGAGACTGATGATAGCTGAGGCTCTCATTATCAAGAGCGAGTCTCCAGCTATCAACCTCCAAACTACAGGATTCGTCCGGACGCTGAAATTATTTTCAGAGTAATTTTAGGTTTATACATTTTGTTGTATCCGCATTATTTATTTTATTGTATCCACTATACCATTCATATGTACTTCAGTCATTTCAAATTCAATTTCAAATGTTGTAAAAACCTTCTCCAGCTTGATAATGAAAATTGTATTTTCGAAACGTTGCAAACTATTAAAATGTCATTCGGAAACCTGCTTTTCGATCTCCCGACGCCAGCAAGAAATTTGGTTCGACTCATTGAAAAAACGAACAAGAAGATTGTTAATAAAAAGCATGCTCTGGTCTTCAATCAAACTTGCATAAGAGAAAAGTTTTATGTCTACATTTTTTAGTATCATTAAGTTGCATCCATCGATCCATCTTCGTATCTATTTTACCGCACCGAAGATAATCTCCAGAAGAGTTAGCCATGTGACTCTTTGCAGTCAGCTATGCCACGGCCTCGCAGCTAAGAACTTCTTTAGGGTAGGTACATTATTTCTTCATTAGAAATAAAACAGGAGATAAATTGCTGTTCTTTTACCTGGCTTTTTATAACGCCGTCAACTCCAGTCAGTTGTTGACCATTGTTGTCACTACTTAGGAGACACTGAGGGCGGTGATGCCGGGCTACATTGCTACCTTCTTATAAGCAATTAAGCTCCGCCAAAGACGGCTTTGCACTTTCCGAAAATCAGCAGAATTACATCTAGTCTGATGTGGTGATGTGGAGGCTCCTTTCTATGCGTAACTGTTATATTCATCACGTTTTTGGTTATTTTGACAATTTCAGGATGAAGATCAACTTCTTTCCCAATTTAGTTGAATCAGTCATTTTCCTATCGGTCATTTTCCTGAGCTGTCAGGAGTGTTAGTGAATTTTTCCCAATGCAGGCGTAGCGCCAAGATGGCCTTTTGCCGGGTCAAGATGGCCCAAAAAAGGCAAAATTGTATCGCAATTTAGACCTAGTCATGTTCACTTCTCTGGGTGTATTTTTAAAATTAATAAGAAGTTAATACTGCATAAACCTCAGACTGCCATCAAATGACAGTGCTTCAACTTTCAATGACCACAATTCTTGATATACCAGCTTTGTCGTGTTTGGCTTTTAGAAAAAATGCGGATGAAATAACCACAAAATAACAGAAACCATAGCTTAGATCAATGATGAAATTGATGTCCTTGTTTAGCAGGCCGTGAAGACTTGGATAGTCAATTCTCCTAAAGATTTTGTAGGGAGAGGTGGGATAGATACGGAAATGAATAAAAGAAAGCAACCATGCATCACTAAAAAAAATGTGGACATTAACTGTTTTCTAATTTAGTCTGAAAAGGTTTCTGAAATTTCAAACTCGTAATTATGTATAACTGCAATCAATTTAGCATAGAAAAACGAAATTTGATCATTGAGCCTGCAAAAAATTATCATCAACACGGCGAAAATAATTTCATAAAACTTTAATGTACTCACGGTAAAAGTTTTTGTGCGGTTAGTTTCTAAGCTTGCGTAATCTCCAGCACACTCGAAATCGCTGCGTAGTGTCAACAGTGTCATGTAGAAGCCGTCAGGAAATTGCGATCTCTGAGAAAATACATTCATACCGTGCATGAATAATTTTGTCAGGAAAAGTAATCAACTGTTTTTGAGAAATTCTTCTGTTTCGATCATTATTATCTTGCAAAATAAAATACAATCGTGGTAGGAGGACAATAGATTTGGAAATAGTACTACTAAGTCTTAATTTTTACGTATTAAGTTCACTAATTTGCAGGTAATATTCATGACCAAAAATTCATCCATAAATGTGGATGAATAATAATTTCAAATTCATTTCTTCAATTCAAATGTAAAAATTCATTTTTTTTGTTCTTTAATGGCACCACTACCTTATTTTATATCCACACACAATTAGAGTAGGTAGTTATTCTAATAAATAATGCATAACAAATATAAATGTAATTACGTTAGCTAATATATGATATCGACCAACCGTGAGAGTGATGGCAGCTGATCTACTCATGGTCTGGTAGAAGCTGGCATAGCCCATGGTCTCCTCCAAATCCCATACTGGACACTTCACAGACAAAACAGCTTTACTGATACCATAAACTTTGTCAAGAAATGTCACGATTGATATTTCCTTTACAGAAAACTCCTAGCATATACAATATTGTATATCCTGTGTTGATAATACATAACAGACATGAATCTACTTACAGAAAACGTGGAATTTAGGCAAATTGCAACACAATTCACTAGCACATTGCTCTGATTAAGATATACAATGACTATTTGATATGCACGACTGAAATATGTTAATGAACCTTTCTTTCTTGCACAGCCAGAGCAGCACACAATGTAGACTCTGACGTAGCATAGACAAGCACCGTGTTGATGCCATCAGGGAACTTGAACTGAAGGAACATAGGAGTGGCAGGAGAGACTACCAGTTGTCTCGGTTCATCCAACCTGCATTTTAGCACACAAATATATAAGCAAAATTTTGAAATTCTAGCTGAAAAGCAGAATGCAAATAAGCAAAATAATTTGATATATTGCGGTTGTAATTAAAAATCGGATCCATCTGAGGGAATCCTGTTAGTGGGCAAAATGGTAAATGACCCGAGCCCCAACAAAAGGAAACAAACAGGTTGCTGCTTAGCTTCCTCATTGAAACAGGTCACAAAAAAAGTTTTTCTAATCAATTTGGGTAGCTGCATTTTTCAATACAAGCCTTGAGTGGTCCGCTTAGAGCAGGACTAATATGGAGAGAAACTAGTAAAAATACAAACTGTGCACATTAATGCATCACTGACTGAGGTAAAGAGTTGTGCATCAAAGCAGACTTGCTCCTTAACATCAGGGCACCTAATTTCAATGAAGACTCTCTTCACACAATATAAGTAACATTGAACTCATCATCCCCATTCTACAAACCTATTTGGTGGATGACCTCTCGTCAGACTATCTTTACATCAGGCTACTAGATTTATTTATTAAATTATGGCAGAAGAGGCTAATTGTACGGTAATATAAAAGATTGATGCAAGTATCCAAACGGTTTATGGATATGTACATGAAAAAAGTAAATAGATTTCCTTTTTCTTATAAATTATTTGAACATGATGGTACAATGGCTGAATAAATGAATAAACATTAGGACAAGCCACTTGTATAGAGAAGTTAGGCTCTCTTTGGTGCAATGATAAGCAATGTGTGAATAAGACAAGTCCATACGGCTAGATCAAAACATTCTATAGCCAAATTGAAATTAGGTTTTCACTTTTAGTACATGGGAAACAGAAAATATATATCAGAAAAATTATCAACAAAGGAACATGCAGTCTGACAGGAAAAATTAGATACCATCACTCACTGTAGGTCAAAGTCATTGAAGGACTCTGTAATGAGGTAGAAATGTAGAGGCATCTGTGCCTGCGTGGAAACATCAATAGACAGATGTTGGGTTGTGTCCAGACTCTGGTGAGCTTGGCTTGTATTAACAGCTATGAGTCTTTGAGAGACATCATGGGATGCTTGAGAGACATCATGCATTGGGATGTGGAAATTCATAGATGGACAAATGGTTCTGGAAGCTGCGGTGTAGTCTTTTCTGCAGGTAAAAAGGGTGTCATTGTTCAATTTGCGTATTAAAAAGTATATTCATAATAGATGAAAAATTATATATATATATATTTACATACAATTTAGTTAACAAATATTAAAAGAAACAATTAGTAAGGGTTTACTAGGAGCTTGATCTGCAAGATTCTTGATTAGAGAGGTAGGCCTTTCTAATATATTTTGGAATTTTGACAAATTAAGCTGAAATATTTTGTCAAAAATTAAAAATATAATTCAACACATCAGTAGAAAATGCAATCTAAAACATATCAACTAGAATATGGTCACAATTATGATGAGAAATCAAGAGAAGAAAAATGAAAATACTGATAACATGACAAAACTCTCACAGCTGAGCAGTGTTAGGAGGAGCCGGGAGAGGTAACTGCCAGGAAAGAACGCCTCTTTGCTGTCGCACCACAACCATCACAGGAGAAGCAAATGTTGCAGCAGGACACTCAACTGTCACTCGAAGGGCTGAATGCTGTAGAATATAATAATATCAATTAATGTACATAGGATATACAGACAAATGCCCTGTTAATTATGAATTAAATTGTTAGAACATTCTCATTTATAAGTCATTCTAGTCTAAAATAATGCAATTTTTGATTAAACAATATATTAGGTGATTCAGTTTTTAACAACACAGCTGCAACATTCTATATACATCATGGGATAAAAAATCATCATGTCATTACAAAAAACTGATAGTACACAATTAATAATGACCTAGAATATAATATCAAATAGTAAGAGGAATACAGCTAAATGATAAGCTAGTTACCTCAAGTAATGATGTGTTGTAGGCATATTCAAAAAGGTATTCTTCATTCTTTGTGATATTTTCAGAGTACATGGAATTAATTTTTCCTGGTATGACACTGATGTCAATGTCCAACCCCAAGCCCAAATAAGGTATAGAGGGATCATTCAATTGGTTACCAGCTTGTCTAGCTATCACTCCCATTATTTCCTTGTCTTTGTTTGTTCTACTTGAGGAGTTTGTGTCTAATTTGAGGCTGGCAGTGGCTTGAGATCCATGATTTTTGGCTCCAATAAATTGATTTGCAATTCCGGCTGTTGGAGCAACAGCATTAGCAACCCCTGCTATAATGATGAGCCACACAAAATAAGGGGCTAAAATTATACAATTCTTTCTTAAGTGTTCCTTGACACACATGATGCTGTTAAAATTAATATCCCATTACTCTATACAACATCATATAACCTGTAAAGAAGCAATGTACATTAAAAAGTTCAATAATTTGGAATACCGCATGCTCCAGTCATCAATTGTTTGTGACCATACCTAAAATTATATTAAAGTATCAATCCAAGGCAGACTGGAAATTTTTTATTATTTTTGAAATCTTGCAGCTCCAGAACTGAATGATTTTAGTGGGCATAAAAACTTGTAGCAACAAGTATTTTGTTTGAACAAAAATATCCCAAATAAGTTATTCTACTAAAATTTTGAACATTCACAGTTCAGTACTGCACTCCCTTCATAATTTCCTGCGCAGTGACTGCTCCCACAATGTTTAAGTGATGATATCATGGTTGCAGTCATCCCAAACTGCATTATTACTGCATAGTATCTTCAACAAAAGGTAAAGAAAAATTTTGTTTTTATTTCTAAGAGAAACTAGAGATTTGGCATAATATGCATGCACAGATTGGCAACAGAGTTGTGGCTCAATAATGGCTTTGTGCAGTATGGAAAAAGGATTTATGGTTCACAAATGACTTTGCATGGATTCTGTGATCAGTAGTTAAAATCATTTCTACAAAAAATATAGACATTATTAGCATTTAAATCTAAAAATAGGATTGAACTATTAATGTAGAATGAAACGTGGCTGCCAGACTGTAAAGTATGGTACAAAAAAGGTTGAGGACACCAAATTCATTGTTCCAAAGATGCCAAGGTATGATCAAGGCAGATGGCAGCTGCCAATTACTCTTCTCAATAGATCAAAAATTATGATATATAATAAAATGGCCAATGCTGCTGGCAATGCATAATGATTGCTGCCAATAAACACATGTCACAATTGATATGGCCAATGAACGATGATCAGCTTGGAGTTGGAGGCATGCACATTAAGATTGCTTCCAGTGATGAATACGTACCAATCAAAAGAAGCAGCAGCTACATGCAGCAACAGCGGTGTTGATTGGTCAATCCACAGTTTTTGATTGGTCATGGACACAAATTTGAAATTAAAGTGGTTTATAAAGAGCTTGGAGAGATGCCAATATCTTAAGATAAAAGGCCATACTTTAGATGTCTGGCAGAGCTGCACAGTTCTCTTTTAGTCTTTCATAGTTAGTTGCTGTTATCAGATACTTTTACAGGAACCTTTTTGTAAATCCTAAAATTTTCTCTGAAATACTTTCATGCCATTTGGAATTCCAGATAGGATAAAAGTATGATGGCGCCAAACCACAGTTTTCTTCTAATCAGTTCAATTTTAGTTTCCTCATTTACTGAACATTCAAATCAATTTCTTATGTAATGGTAATGCTGGTATCCATGATACTGGTCTATTTATAGGAATCAAAAATGAACTTGTGGGAGAGTGTAAAAAAACTCTCTGCTTTGCCACTATGTATTTAGCTACATATTTATTTATTTATAGCTATCTAATTTATTTATTATTATTCTTGTTCAAATTGGAATCAGTGGTGGAGTAAACAATTCTAATTTTCCAGTCCAACTCCAGTCTCCACTTGAATTGGACTGGTAGTAGCTAGTTACTGTTGAGACTGTTGAGTCATACCATCAAACGGGGTGAAAGGGGACGGTTTTGAGCGTTTTTTGTTAATAACTTCTTACCATGAAACATTTCATAAACGAGTTTGGGCTCATTTTAAAGATCCTTGCAAGGGCTATTGTATGGCATCTCCAAAAAAAGTTCAAATGCTATTTGTAAGGTGCTAGATGCAATATAAAAGGCTCCTGAAATAATCTAGAAATGGGGAAATTAGGGACACGAGAAAAAACTCAATTTTAAAACGTTTATAGCATGCAGAGTGTACTCATGTATTACTAACAGTACTCTGAAGTCCTCCTCTTTCATTGTAGATGATGTAAATGTAGAATAAATGACATTTTCTGTGATTTTTACTTGTTTTTCCTTTATTGATATGATATTACCATATTCATTAATTACCATATTATTAATGTGATATTACTGTATCCATGGACCATGGACATGCATTTAGCATCAACAACGACCTTGTCCACTGCAATCTTCATGTCAGCAGCCATGTAGCATTTCTTCTGTATCTGTAAGCTTACAGGATGGCTTGTAATTTTGCACAATTTTAATTGAGTCAAGTGATTTTACTATAACAAAAAAGATTATAAAAAACATACCTGAAACAGGAAAGAATATTTTAGTGACAAGTGACAACCATCATATTTTTTGGAGAAATAAATCATAGTTTAGGTTATTATTTTTAATTCTTTGCTGCCCAGTGCTCAATTCTATCTACGACATTCTATGCACAATTTTGTGATGACTGATGCAGTAATTTTTTGTTGAGTGAAATTTTTTTCACTGAGCAAGTTAAATGTAATTAAATTTATTTGTTGTTAATTTACTTTTTCATTAACTGGGCCTTTGCTAACCAAGGCTCTACAGTAAATGCAGTTTAAGGGTGTCCCTTATTACCCCGTTTTGCAGAAATGGCTGCCATTTTTTCTTGGAATGAGATATGCAAATTCTGTTGATCACGTTATTAAGCCAACACCAGTGTGCAACTTTTATGTAAGTAAGATTTTTCAATATGACAAATATTTATTTCTGCTATAGACCTTAGCAGAGGTAGGGTAAACACGGTGTATTCCGACATCATGGGTAATTCCGCCACTTCTCATCTTTTTCCTTCATATTATTGTCAACCGGGGCTACTCGGGACGGTTTTGAGCGTTTTTTGTTAATAACTTCTTACGATGAAACATTTCATAAACAAGTTTAGGCTCATTTTATAGCTCTTTGCGAGGGCTATCGAATGGAATCTTCAAAAAAATTCCATATGCTATTCCTAAGGTGCCAGAAGCAAAAAAAGAGTGTCCCGAGTAGCCCTGTTGAACAGGGCTACTCTGGACACTGGGAATAAAACTTCATTTTAAAATATTTGAAGCATGCAGAGCATACTCATCCATTACTAACAGTACTCTGAAGTCCTCTTTCATTGTAGACAATGTAGAGGTAGAATAAATGACATTTTCTGTGACTTTTACTAGTTTTTCCTTCATTGATATGATATTACCATAAACATTAATTACCTTCAACTGGGGTGACATGGGCTGTGTTTTTGATTCATGCTGGGGTCGTAAACGCAGGGTCGTAAACGCCGGGGGTCATAAACGCCGGGGTCATAAACGCCGGGGTCATAAACGGCAGGGTTGTAAACCAGGTCATAAATGCCTGAGTGACTTTGGCCACTGTTTATGACCGTTTATTACCCCACTTTGGCCATCATTATGAACAGGGCCAAATCACCCAGTTGATGGTACCATATTATTGATGGGATATTACCAGGGTTGGCGATTTTTTTTTATTTTTTAAAAAAAATCAAAAAAATAAAAAATCAATGATTTTTTTGATTTTTTTATGATTTTTTTGATTTATTTGATTTTTTTGATTTTTTCAGCTTTTTTGTATTTTTGAGGTGTTATTTTTTATGTTGCAATTAGCCTACTAACAATAACAGTATATGGATCATAATGGATGGCTAAAAAGGGCACTTATTGCCTTATGACTGTTTTACGACGTGTCAGAGGTGCGTCCCGAGTTGCCCTGCCAGTCCCGAGTTGCCCCGGTTGACGGTAAGCTTTGTCTTAGTTCTATGCATTTGTTGATGGTTGAAATAGTGACGTCATACTATTGCATGCCATACTATTGACAAAACACTAGGTCTGGGCTGTCTGGCAGGAAAATGTTAAGATCCAAAGAGAGACATGCAAGTGCATGTCACCCAGTGAGAACATCAAAAAATGTGTCAAAGTTGATAGTAGACCTTGCTCTACCAAATAGTGATAAACTGTTTGTGTAGAAAGAATATTATAGTTTGAGACTTTTAAATAAGTCTGTGAATATATTAGGAATCCTTTAAGAATACTTGTATTTGCTGATTTCAAGTGGTAAATAAATTAATAGATGATTAATTTAAGAGACAGTTTTAGACACATACTAAAAACTAATTTCGACACAACTTGGAATTAGACACACACAGCACGTTCCGAGCTGTGTGCAAAAATTAAAATTTTCTTAATTAAAAGCTTAATTGCTCTTAATTAAAAGCCTAATTAAGTAGTGTTCAATATTCAATAGTGTTCTAATTCCCAGCTTTGTTGTATTCCAATACACAGCTATCGGAATTTGAACACATGAGGGTCGCAATTACGAATTATAGTAGTTTGAAGTGCGGCCAGAATTAGTCTCACAAAATGCCAAATTTAGTCACGCACAGCGTCGGAATATATGGATTTGGTAGGTTTGCATTCTAAAGGCTTTTAAATAAATATGGCAACAGTTTGTGACGTTTCATTGTTGCTGGCGTGGCGCATAGTGCGGTGTTTTGAGAGTGACGTAAGGCAAACAGAACTTGAGTTATGCATACGGTGATTTTTTTATAGCCATTCATTTTTGCTACGTCCTTAATGTGTCGGAATATACCGCGTTTACCCTACTTTCCCTAAATCTCACTTTTCACATTTTTTTTCAGGGATTTTTTAGAGGTAGTAAATGTATGATTTCTCAACTTGCTTTATGCTGCATAGATAGTAAAAATGTTGAACTTTACGCCACTATTTTCAATTTTGCAATATTTTGATTAGTTTAGCTGCTTCAACATTTCTACAAAATGCTGGAGGACTGTCCCTTTTTACAACACTTCTCTTTAACTTCACTTATTGTCTGTTTGTTTGTCTGTCTGCTACAAATCTTGTAATCAAAATTTAATACACTAAAATTACACTTCTACTTATCCTATTGATCTGAAATTTTGCACACTTGTGTAAAGTTGGAGACAATGCATGAATCAAATGTCAAAATAAATGATTTTAAAAATATAAAAAATTTGTTTTTTCAATATTAAAAAAATTGAAAAAATAATTTTGTCAGCTAGAGCTACAAATCTTATAACTGATATTGACACACTTTTACCTCTCTAATTGATCTGGAATTTTGCATACTTGTGTGAAGTCAAAGGCAAT